AAGATTGGTTGAAAATCTGTTTTTAAAGCATCTATATTTCCCTCCCCCACTGCACATAGGCACTTTCTTGCTTCCCTAAGAACTAGAAGTTTATTATTTGGAGAAGATTCTGAATTGGGAATAGGCTGAAGGGAGGGGACACCAGGCACATTTGAGGGAGAAGTACTAAAAACAAAAATTAAGTAAAAATCTATGTATTAAGCACTCAGACTCCCTAGCCTCTTTCCCACCCTTAACTCCCAAATGTTAGCAGTCAGGGCCTCTGGGAGGTAGAAGACTGGAAGATTTTCGTCTGGGGAACATGACCAGCTCGATAGAAAATACCTAAAAATTCTGACCCTTGGTGGTACTCAAATGGAACAGCATAGCCAATCATCAGTGAAACACAGAGCTTCCAGTCAGCAATTTAGTTCTTTACTTTTAAATAAAAATAGATAAGCAAGCACCACTAGTCACTGGAAGAAAGCTCCTGTGAAGGATAGTCACCTAGGTACAAAAACCAAAGCAGAAAGGAACTTAGAGGAAATAGACTATGCAAGAAGAAGAAAACTTTATAAAAACTTATTAATACCACCTCCACTGCCAGAGGTTCTCTTCCCCCTCTTTTGTTTGTCAATCTTTCTTTCTTTTTTTTTTTTGAGACAGAGCCTCAAGCTGTCCCCCTGGGTAGAGTGCCGTGGCATTACAGCTCATAGCAACCTCTAACTCCTGGGCTCAAGCAAGTCTCCTGCCTCTGCCTCCCAAGTAGCTGGGACCACAGGCGCCCACCACAACGCCCGGCTATTTTTTGGTTGCAGCTGTCATTGTTGTTTTGGCAGGCCCAGGCTGGATTTGAACCCACCACCTTAGGTGTATGTGGCTGGCGCCTTAGCCACTTGAGCCACAGGTGCCGAGCCAGTGTGGTTACTACTTAACAGGGTATCCAATGTTTTTTTTCCCTACCACACACTGGAAAAATAAGAATTGTTTTGTGGGCCTCACAGTAAGTACAAATATTTGTTTTGTTTTTGTTTTGAGACAGAGCCTCAAGCTGTCCCCCTGGGTAGAGTGCCATGGCATCACAGCTCACAACAACCTCCAACTCCTGGGCTCAAGCAAGTCTCCT